GCACTTAAACAGAACCTTGCATCTGAAGATCTTAAAGCTCCTTTTAATTTATACATTAGTTTTTACAACCTCCCTGGCAGGCAGGCAAATATCGTTACACCCATTTTTCAGAGGGCTCCATCAACTTGAAATGGTCATTCTGAAGTCTAAATCCTGAAGCCAATTTCACAAAATGTTGCAAGGCCCCACACCTGCCACTTCTCCCCTGCCACTTTTTGTGGGTTTACATTACGTTTTGTTCTCCCCTGTTGCCGTGTGAAGGACCCATACGAAGGACAGGGAAAGCTGACTGACTTTGCCTGAATCCTGCCAACGTTGCTGCATGTGAGTAACTTTCCTCACACATATTAAGTGTGTGCAGTCAGGCCCTAACTTATTTGACAGGGGAAACAGAGGCTGGCAATGCCCAGTCAGCAAACAGGGGAAGAAATAGAAACAAGTATTTATTTTTGTCTCCTCTCTTTCAATTACAGGCATCGTAGGCACCATCTGGAAAATTATATGGGTAAAAATAATTCAGACAAATGTGTAATTTGTCAGTTGACTTGCCAAAGGCTGCACATGGAGTGAGTGGCAGAAACAGAAACAGCCTCCAGGCGGGCTGGTTCTTAGTCACAGGCTCTAGCCAGTAGATGAAAACCTATAAACCACATTGTTACATCATGCCCGTTGGACAGGATTGCTATCCTTTCTGTCACTATATCATTTGAGAGGGCTGTTTCCTGGCCAGTCGATTATGTGGTGTCTGCTACAGCCAAGCTCAGTTAGTGACAGATAGATGTCAGTTTTCTTGTCCAACCCAGACTCGCTGTCGAGAATGGCCGCACGTACTGAGGGCTGGCGAGAAGTTAGTCAGACCAAACCTGTCATTGACCCTATCCAGCCAGCCCGAGGTGGATGGCCGGAGAAGCTGTTTATGCCAGTGGCTAACAGGGATGCTTGACAGGTAAATTCACAAACATCTGCTCCCAGTTTGGAGCACCAGTGACCCAGCCATCCAGGCTTCACTTTCCCTTTGCAGCGGGGCCCCTGGGAAGCCATGCCTGGGATGCTCACTGTATCTCCAAGGGAAATATAAGGGACCGGTGGGCTCCCTTTGCAGCCCACACACAGAAGCAGCATCAAGGCCCGAGTCACCAGCTGGGATTGTGGAGGTGTTTGCAAGTGCGGCGATCGTTACTTGAGCCAGGCTCTGATTCCTGACAGACCTGCTACAGCCCAAGCAGAGGCTGCTCACACGCACCCCTGTCCCCCCCCAGCCTGTCCAAATGCCTCACCTCAGACCTGTAGGGACCAACAGAGTCCAGCCTCCGCGCCCCTTTCAGTCCTTGGCTTCTTGCCAAGGCTGAGAACAAGTGTGCAAATGAGCTGGTGGTGTGTGTGGCCGGGGGCACCTGTCCCATCAAAACTGCCCAGAGACCACCAGTGTTTGGTCACAGTGCTGGGCTGTATAAACCCTGCAGCAGCCTGGAAGGGGTTAAGAAGCTGCTCTGGGCTGGAGTAGCCCACCCCCGCCCCGCTGCACCTGCCAGTCACACCAGGGATGGAGCAATTTAAAAGGCGGAAACTCAGTAGTTCAATAGTGGGCAGCTCTGGGAAGGGAGCAGTGCCCGGCGTCCCAGCTCCCAGGAGGAGGCCTGTGCCCTGGCCTAAACAAAATTCCACCTCCCTTGACGCCACGGAAGACCGTAGCCTATAATTGTGCTGGACAGCCAGCAGACTTCGTTGAACGAGGACCCACCCAGGGCCCCGCTGAGGGAAGAGAAGCCAGGGTCCTGGATGGAACTATCTGCGTGCGTCTTTCTCTTTTGTTTATTTTCTTGTGCTGCTCCTGAGTTGTTGGTTTTCCCCTCAGGACTCTGAGCGGGGGCGAAGAGGGGGGAACCAGAAGGGCTCAGCACAGGGCTGAGAACTTGTCGCTGCCAGAGGGCTACAGCACACACCCACTGAAGCACCAGGGCTGGAGCGTCACAAACCAAAGGGCAGACTGTGTAAGGCTCGGCTCCCTGGCAGTCACTAATGATCTAAGCCTGTGCAGACTCCTGGCTGAGACAGGAATAGCCTCCTAGCCCTGTGACTATTTCCAGTACTTGGAGCCATCTGCTCACCCCAGGCCATACAAGTGTCACCCAAGGGGCTAGGTACCTTCTTTTGATCTGCTTAGAGAGACTTGCACAGTGGACTCCAACACTCCCCGGGATGTACGTGCACAGCAAAATAACGAGCCGCTCCGGCTGTTATATGACCCAGGTCTAGAGAAAGGGGCCAGCTCTTCTTTTCCTCCCGCCGCCCTTCTTCCCTCCCCTGTGTTCCAGGGATGCTCCTTCAAACCTGCTGTGTGGGAAACACACCCATCTCCTCCCAATGCCCTCCTCATTCCAACTCACTCCCACTCAGGCTGCCTCAGACCAGAGGAGGAGTACAGCAAATCCACACACAGAGAGTTTGTTTCTTTGCTCCAGTCACAAGTGAGGTTTTAATAAATCCGGTTAAAATGCTGTAACGAGCTGGTTTTCGCATAGGCAAAACAACAAACTGGGGCCTTCTGTCTAGTGCAAACGATTCCCATGCACACACGGGGCCTGTTCCTGCTCCCAGCGCAAGCAGATCAGTAGGGTCAATGTGAACTGGGTGCTGCTAGCCTTGCAGGGAGGATTTTCTTCCCCAGCGGTAGCAGTGCCCAGGAGGGGATTAAACGGGTTCCCTATTGCTGCAGGTTCACAAGCTGCTCTTCGGAGGGGAGAGGCACGGGTGGCGCTGGTGGCCTGCAACGCACTGAAGCAAACACAGATGATGTAAAAGTCAACATGCCTTTATCATTTCCTGCAGTTGGTGTTTGGATGGAGGGTAAATCAGACTATTAACGAGCATTCCTCAGTACAGACCTAATAAGAAACAGATCCTCCTTATAACTTTAACCGGGCAAAGCCCATCTTTTTTCTCTCCTCTTTCAGGCTGTGGAGGAGGGGTGGGGGGCTGGAGATGAATATATTTATAGGGTGTCCTTTGTTTATTTCCTGATTTGCCATTGACAGGACAGGTGCCCCCAGCAGAGGATGAGCGCCTACGGTTATGGTTAAGAAATTTGGAATAAATAAATACAAAATGATTCTCCCTGGTTTTTCACTTCATGCCCCAAGAGTCTCTTCCAGCAGTGGTGTCCTTCCTGGGGGAGTGAGATTGGAAGCGGAGCTTCCCATGTCAGATTTCAAAGAGACATTCTCGAAAGTATGCGGATGCCCTTGTAATTCAGAGCCTCCCTTGACAGCAGCAGTCAGGAGTGAAGGGCCCACAAATTCCTCCCAGGATTCCCTAGTTTTTAAACAGTTTCACCCCAGATTTCGCTCTCTGGAAGTACGGTCCAAGCCCTGCAGTCCTCACTCAGGCAGCACTCTGAGGAAATTAAATGGGGAAGTTTTGCCTGACTAAGGGCTGCAGGATTGGGCCTTAAGGGGTATGTAGCTCCAAATAATCTTACCCAATTATGTTCAAATACCTTTAAAAATCATTTAAATTAGTTGCATATTGGACAATCCATCTAGGGTGACTAGACAGCAAAAGTGAATAATCGGGACAGGGGGTGGAAATAAGCTCCTATATAAGACAAAGCCCCAGATATCGTGACTGTCCCTATGAAGTCGGGACATCTGGTCACCTTAAATCAAACAGAACGCACCATCCCTTAGCCAATGAAACTTGTTCAACTACCACATCTCATGCCTGGGGCCAGTCTCCTCCTCTCCCTCATTAAAAATCATCTCTTCCTGTACAAATAAGGCTCACCAGATCTCCTTTGTAGGACGGGCTCATTTCAAGGCCCTTTTAAAAACCTCTCACTAGTGCGGGTAAGGATTTTGCACCGTGTTTTAACCAGGTATTAATAGTCTCACAGTCTGGTTCCTGGCACAAGGATTTCGGACTGTACCTAGCAGTTTATGGGCACAGACGCTGCCAGCCTGCTCCTCTAATCACTGGCTTTTCTGCATTTGCGTCAGTTAGGGCACATCTGAAGAAGGGGTTTTTTTACCCACGAAAGCTTATGCCCAAATAAATCTGTTAGTCTTTAAGGTGCCACCGAACTCCTCGTTAGTTAGGGCACAGTCACTGTGGAAAATATTTATACATAGGAAATGTCTTACTAATTAACCTCTTAATTGACACCTTCACTCTGGGACAAAGGACACCGGGAAGATTTCTCCTACCTTGGGATCCTGCTGCTTACAAACACATTTACAGCAAAAAATAACCCAGCAGTCCTGGAGGGATCTGGCTAATTGACTTCGCTGCTTATCTCCTGGTAGGTGACGAAATCTGCAAGGGTTGAGGGACCAGGGAGGGATCGCAGCAGCCTGCTGCTTTGGCAGTACTCACCACAGTTTGCAACTGGAGCCCAAACAAGGGACAGCTGTGTGGAATTTACAACAGAAAACCATTCTGCAAGCTCAGGGGAAGTTACCCAGGCCACCTGGACACTTGCCCAGGTTAGCCTTGCTGACCATTTAGAGCTCCACGTTGGTTCCTCTGATCTGTTAGACCCCTGTGGGTTGGAGCATCCTGCTAAGCTGCCCCTCCCATCCCCATCCTGGTGAGTTTGGCAGGGGACACAGCAGCAAACATGGATAAAGTGCCTCCCACATACAACAGATTGATGCCAGCCAGAGTGACAAGTCCTCAAACAAGCTAGAAACATCTCTTAGACCTTCTGCATTAAAGCCAACAGGAGAAGCCACCTTTGCAGATACCAGACCTTACACACATTCCCATTATTAGTGTCATAAAACACTGGGCATGGGCAGGTAAAATGCACCTCACGCAGCGCATTCTCGGACAGTGCAGCACTTTCACCTAGCTCCAAAGTTGCATTGCGTTAGCGGACACCTGCAAACGGCCTCTTCACACTCCAATTTACTAAAGCTATATTCAAAACGGATCTGATTTTGGAGTTTATTGTTTTCCCCTGCTCTTTACAAGAAGAGACCAAATTGCCGTACCTGGCCCAGTTCTGTTAAATTATTGTCATCTTTATTATCTCCACTGGTGTGCAAACGGAAACGGTGGTGTCCTTAAAAATAACAAAATGTATTCCATGTATTCCATGTACATTTTTTCCATATGTACAAGTGAACATCCACACTTACATTTTTCTTTTGCATAGCAAAAGATATCGAACACTGAGACAGGAGAACATGGGATCGGGTACAAAAAAAAGAGGCTAAAAAAATTTCACCACAGTGCAAAAATCTCTTACACAACAGCATGGAATGGACATTTTTTTTTAAAATATATAAAAAGGAAGAAAACTCCCTCTCAGATATTAAATGTTTCATTGTAAACAAAATGCAACATTTCTCCCTCAAGACAGCGATTTGGAGAATTTGGCCGATCTTTAGGGGTCTCTGGTCAACAACCCAAAGCTCATGCACCAAGACAGCCAAACTGCTCCTGTCCTACTTGAAAACGAAAAAATATTTTTTAACGAGAGGTGGAAACTGCCAATGAAACCGAGACGCTGCTCCTGTGACACGATCCCTGGGGAACTGGAACGGGGGGCCAAGCGAGCCCGCCACCTGCCCAGGGACAGACACCCAGGGAATCTCATCTTGCGAGCGCACCGGACTGTGTAAAGCATTGCACGTATCTCCCCTGGGCTTTCCGTCCTGTGCAAAGTCTGCCCTTTGCGCCCCTCTTCTCCTGGGGCCCCGCAGCGTTCCGTGCAGCCCCACCGGCCCCGCCAGCCCCTCCGTCCCCCAGCCCGGCAGCACCGGTGCACGGGGAAGGGCCGGGAGCCCGGCGCGTCCGCTGGCGGCTTCCCGGGGAAAACAAACCTCAGCCAGAGCCCAGCTAGGCGCTGCCGAGCGCCGCGCGGAGACGGGCGCAGGCGGCGCCCTCCGGCCGGGGGGCTCAGCCGGTCTCGGGCTCCTGGCCGCCGCCGCCCGCCTCCTGGCCGCCGCCGCCGCCGCCCTCCTGGCCGCCGCCGCCGCCGCCCTCCTGGCCGCTGCTCTCGATGGAGGACTCGCTGCCCGTGCTCTCCCCGGACAGCAGCCGGGTGACGCGCAGGTCGGCCCGCAGCGCCCGCAGGTCGTTGCCGATGCTGAGCTCGCCCAGGTCGCTGATGAGCTGGCTCAGCTCCGGGCCCCCCGGGCGGCCGGGGCCGGCCCGCAGCAGCAGCGGGGCGCAGCCGGGCGCCTCCAGCACGTCCTCGCACTCGAAGTGCCCGGCGCGCTCCTCCTGCGCCTCGCCCAGCAGGTCCTCGGTGATGGAGCCCAGCTTGGGCGCGCTGCGGCCGCGCTCCGCCGGCGGCTTGTAGCAGCTCGGCCCGCGCGGCAGCTTGCGCGGGGGCACCGGCGGGAGGCTCCGCTCCCCGGCCAGCAGCTGCTGCTGGTGCCGCGCGTCGTCGCGCTTCTTCAGCCGGCGGAACTCGGCCAGCGCGGCCGCCGAGGTCTGGTAGAGCAGCAGCGCCATGGCCCGGGCCTTCTCGGGCCGGGAGACCAGCACGGCATGGCAGCGCAGCGTGACCGCCTTGTGCTTCAGCTCGTGCCGGTAGATCCAGGCGAAGACGCGGGGCAGGCGCGGGTCGGCCACGCAGTAGGTGACGCGGTGCAGCAGGTAGAGGTGGCCCGGCCGGCGCGGGGCCCGCTCCTCGGCGTGCGCCATGCGGATGCCCTGCGCGCCGATGGTCAGCTTCATCTTGGCGCCCTGCCGGCCGGCCTCGCTCTTGGCCCAGATCTTGCCCACGGCCAGGTCGGTGCAGCCCTCGCCCTTGGCCTGCAGCGTGGCCGCGTTGCCCAGGTACAGCACCGTGTACGTGGGGTCCTCGCTGCTCACGCGGAACTTGCGCCGCTTGGAGCGGAACATGCTGCCCACGCGGTGCAGCGCGCCCTCGGGGCAGGCGCGGGCCAGCGAGCCCAGCGCGGAGCAGCGCAGCCTCACCGCATAGCCCTTGGGCTTGCTGGGCTGCCGCGGCTCCTCCGCCCGCAGCTCGAACCGCTCCCGCCGCCAGGGCAGCATCTCCCCGCCAGCCCGCCCGCGGGCCCCGCGCAGCCCCGCGCAGCGCACGGCGCGGGCGCTCCCCGGGCAGAGCCGCGCCCAGTCACCGGCCGGCCGGGCGCGGGGCGTCCCCCGGCAAGGGCGCCGCCGCCGCCGCCGCTCCGCGCCGCTGCCTGCCGCCGGGCATCCTGGCCGGGCGGGCCGGGGCCGCGGCGCGGCAGATATAGGCTGGCGCCAGGCAGGGGCGGCGCCGGAGAGGAGCGGGGGGAGGAGAGCAGCGCCGCGTCTGCAGCGGCCTCCCCGCCCGCCCGCCCGGCCTCCCCGCGGCTCCGTGCCCGGCCGCGGCAGGGGGAGGCCGGGCTGAGCGGCGGCCCCGGGGGCGCGGGGTCTCCTGCGGGCGGCGGGCCCTTGGCCGGGGGCAGGGGCGACCGCAGCCGGCCGCTCCGCTGGAGCCGCGCCCCGGTCTGCCGGCGGGGCGTGTCCGCGCGGGGGGCGCCCCGAGCCCGGCCGGACCCCAAGGCGCCGGGCAGGGCAGCCCGGTTCACATCCCCGGGCGGCCGGCGCGGCCTGCGGGTGCTGAGCTCTGCAGAGGGGGCCGCGCCCCCTCGCTGCGGGGATACGAACCTCGCTGTGCCCTGGGGCACGTCGCGGGGGGCTGCTGGGCATGGAGCCTGCGGCTGCTGGGGGTGCGGGGGGGGGGTTACCTGCTGTCCTGTGCAGGGGACACGCGGAGTTAGGGTGACTTTACCTTTGGCTGAGGGCTGGCAATCCTGGGGGGACTAAGGGATGGGTGTGAATGTGATTGACACATGATGTCAGGCCAGTTTGGGGTGAGGCCTCCTTGGTGTGTGCACCAAGATCTCTTTTTTCCAGTGGGCTGCCCCTGCCAGACCCAGTTCTGACAGTGGATGGGTCATTTGCAGCTTGATTCAACCCGAAGCCCATCCCACAGCCCTTGCCTGCAGCTGTGTGTGGGAGGGCGCCCCAGCTGGGCCCGCCAGTCCTGAGCCAGCAGCCTGTTTAAAGAACATGCCATGCAGCTGTGCACTCAGCCTTCTACCTGCTGAGTTCCAGGAGGTGGGCAAGGCCTCTCCCCGCCCAGTCTAAGGGGTGGAACAACTCTGGGCTCAAATGATTTTGAGGGACAACTAATAAGAAAACAGGGGCAGGCGTGAGGCCATAGGGGGATAAGTAGGAACCAGAGAGGGACACAGAGCAGAGAACCCCGGACAGCGCCCACTGCTCCTCGAAGGGGTCTAGGGAGTCAGCGGACGCAGCCCAGAGGAACTCTGCCCGGATATGTGAACTAAGGGAGCATCAGAAATCGGCCCCACAGTCTCAGAGCGCCTCCCCCTCTAGCTTCCTCCTCCTGGTTTTTTAGATGCCCACTTTGGGCAGCGCCAAAGGGGTTGATGAGGCGGTCTCATGACTTTGCGGGGCCACGGTGGGGTGTGCGTGGATCAGGAGTGCAGGGAAAGTGCAGCCAGAACCTACAAACAAGGTTCAGGGTGAGCCAGAAAAGGGGCTGCAACCTGGCGCACTCAAGGTAGATGTGCGCCAGGGTCTCCCGCATGCCACAAGCGGGCAGGTCTCGGGGAGGGCGGTGAGCTACGCCGAGTACACGCCCGTGCTCACGGCCCCATGAGGGAGCCACCAGCTGATAGCAGCCAGCCTTCCATATGAGCCTGCCCCCCAGTTGCATTGATCTGTGAGGTCAGAAGAACTCCACTGAGCATGTTCAGGATGTCCGGCTGATGTGCCCGGGGTCAGAAGGGGATCTGCCCGGCTGTAGCAAGGACGGCTGCCTGGGGGCGCAGCCCCGCTAATGGGAGTGGAACTCAGCTGGACAGGCTATATTTACTCCACCGCTGCCCACGCTCAGTTCATCTACGTTGGGGAAAAGGGTGATGCGACAGCAAAGTGAGCAGCCCATGGGCTACCCCTCCCAGGGCTCACCACAGCTATGCTACTGATAAACAAGGGATGGATGCAGAATGTCCCTGCACCAAGAGAGGTCAGGCCCTTCTTTGGGTACTCCCAGAGGGATGGGGTTCCTCCCCACCTAACGTGGATACTTTGGAAGAGTGAGCGTTGGCTTTATGCCCGCACTCAAGGAACTCCATTTCAAAACGGTTTCCTGGAAGAAGGTGCTGCCCTCCGAGTCTTATACCCCAGGCTTCCCCCTGGCAGTCTACTCAGTTCACATGCTGGGTGGCTGGAATGGTCTGTAAATGGGTCGGAAAAGCAGCTACAGAACTGAGCTGCTCCCAGCGCCGGGCTGGGAATTCAGGGCCGGGCTCATTCTATCTGGATGTGGGCACAGGGATGCACCTCTGCCACTGGCTGCTCCACCGGATGTCTGCACACCACAGCAGGAAGGATGCCATGCATGGCTGACACCGACTGATGAAAAGGACTTCCCCACTCTTCCTTCTCCTCCTCACCACCTTCCCCCAGTGGCTGGCTCTGCCCACAGGAGTGGAAAGATCTGTTTGAGAGAGCAGGCGACCTTACCACTGAGTCACTAACTACCTTCGGTCCACAGGCAAAGAGCAATGCAGCTGGGACAGAATAAGCCATGCTTGAACAGTGTTTCAGAGTCCGTGGAAGGGAAGCTACCAGGCCACAAACAAACAGGCATCACTTGTAACTAGGGCTGTCAAGCAATTAAAAAAATTAATCGCAATTAATTGTGCGCTGTCAAACAATAATAGAATCCATTTACATGAATATTTTTGGGTGTTGTCCACATTTTCAAATATATTGGTTTCAATTACAACACAGAATACAGAGTGTACCGTGCTCACTTTATTTTTTTATTACAAATATTTGCATTGTAAAAAAGAAAGTATTTTAATTCACTTAATACAAGTACTGTAGGGCAATCTCTTTATCATGAAAGTTGAACTTACAAATGTAGAACTATGTACAACAAATAACTTCTCTCAAAAACAAAACAATGTAAAACTTTAGAGCCGACAAGTCCACGCTGTCCTACTTCCTGTGCAGCCGATCGCTCAGACAAACAAGTTAGTTTACATTTGCAGGAGATACTGCTGCCTGCTTCTTGTTTACAGTATCACCTGAAAGTGAGAACAGGAGTTCACGTGGCACTGTTTTAACTGGTGTTGCAAGATATTTATGTGCCAGATGCACTGAAGATTCATATGTCCTTCATGCTTCAACCACCATTCCAGGGGACACGCGTCCTTGCTGATGAGGGGTTCTCCTCAATAACGATCCAAAGCAGAGCGGTCCGATGCATCTTCATTCCCATCATCTGAGTCAGACACCACCAGCAGAAAGTTGATTTTCTTTTTTGGTGGTTCGGTTTCCGTATCGGAGTGTTGCTCTTTTAAGACTTCTGAAAGCATGCTCCACACCTCGTCCCTCTCAGATTTTGGAAGGCACTTCAGATTCTTAAACCTTGGGTCAAGTGCTGTAGTTATCTTTAGAAATCTCACGTTGGTACCTTCTCTGCATTTTGTCAAATCCGCAGTGACAGTGTTCTTAAAACGAACAACATGCTGGGTCATCATCTGAGACTGCTCTAACATGAAATATACAGCAGAATGCAGGTAAAACAGAGTAGGAGACGTAAAATTCTCCCCCAAGGAGTTCAGTCACTAATTTAATTAACACATTGTTTTTTTAACAAGTGTCATCAGCATGGAAGCATGTCCTCTGGAATGGTGGCCGAAGCATGAAGGGGTATATGAATGTTTAGCGTATCTGGCACGTAAATAACTTGCAATGCCGGCTGCAAAAGTGCCATGTGAATAGTCCTTAAATGGGTTAGGGTTAAATGCCTGTTCTCACTTTCAGGTGACATTGTAAACAAGAAGCGGGCAGCATTATCTCCTGTAAATGTAAACACACTGGTTTGTCTGAGCGATTGGCTGCACAGGAAGTAGGACAGCGTGGACTTGTCAGCTGTAAAGTTTTACATTGTTTTGTTTTTGAGAGAAGTTATGTAACAGAAAAATCTACATTTGTAAGTTGCACTTTCACCACAAAGATTGCACTACGGTACTTGTATGAGGTGAACTGAAAAATACCATTTCTTTTGTTTATCATTTTTACAGTACAAATATTTGTAATAAGAATAATATAAAGTGAGCACTGTACACTCTGTATTCTGTATTGTAATTGAAATCAATATAGTTGAAAATGTAGAAAAACATCCAAAATATTTAATAAATGTCAATTGGTATTCTATTGTTTAATAGTGCGATTAAAACTGCGATTAATCGTGATTAATTTTTTAATTGTGATTCCATTTTTTGAGTTAATTGCCTGAGTTAACTGCGATTAATTGACGGCCCTACTTGTAACATTAGTGGGCTGATCATGTCCACAAACTGCTGGAGAGAAGATGCTCAAAGGAAACGCCAAAATATTTACCTAAGGGAATTTGCAACCAGCCCAGGTAGCCAAGGAAATATTTTCGGTGTGGTTTGGAAGTCTTTAGTCAAGTGTGTTGGAACTGACTGTCTTTCATTTACCCCCATTCAGCTTCTACTGAAGTCAACTGGGGTGTTTCCATAAACTTCAATGGGAGTTGAATTGGGCTTGAGCTGTCTCAGAGTGTGCCCAGTCCTGCTGCACGTGAGCAACTCCCATTGACTCAGTGGCTGTGAGAGCAGGTCCTGCATTGTGTTGTTAGAACAGTCATTAAATCTGCCCACGTAGTAATAATCATAATCACTAGCGCTTACCTACAACCTTTCGTCCAAGGCTCTCTACGTTCTGAACAGGCATCACCTAATTAATGCTCCGCACCAAGGAGACGAGGATACGGGGGTGCAGTGGCCTCATCCGTGCGAGGATGTAGCTGGTATCTTAGATTCCCTCAATAGACTTTTTTCAAAATAAAAATAATACTAAACTTCTAAGGCAGCTCCGCAAACCCATCCTCAGGGGAGGCCGTCCAGTGCGGAGTCTGGTTCTGTGGGTCGCTGCACACTCCTGCAGTTTTCCCATAGGTCCCCAAGGGAGGGCAAACCCGGTGAGTTAAAGATGGCACATCGCAGTGGATTCTCTTGGTACTATGGCTTAACATCTCAGTCCTGTCATATTGCTTGAATAGATTTGGCTAATGCACCACTCAGACCAGAAATCCTGCAGCAAGGGAAAATGCTATTGTGATGAGTAA